CCTGTCAGCAGAACTATTTGATTTGGGTGAGGTGTCCATTCTCTCGCATTTTTGTTCATCCTCAGAACCTCAGTTTAAAAGAGCTTAGGGAATTACAATCGGATGATTTATTGAAAATGAAATGGTTTTGGACAAATTATGGATTTCCGTTGAAAGTGAGACTCCAGCAATTCGTAGGAAACCAATATTGCTGCACTTTTTAATGTCAAGTATGTGGGAACAAGCTTTTCCTTGTTTAACAAATGTTAAGAATAAGGATAAAAATCGTCTCCTTTCTGTGAAAGATGTAATACGCGTACGTATATCGAAAATCAGACCCCTAATTTAACATTTATTTTCCAAAAAACAGGCGCAGATTTCATATTAATGGTTGTTATAAACTATTATACTAAATACATTATTATTTATCTGTGCGTAATTATATTTTGAATTATAACAATTGCATATATTTGCATTTTTTCGTTTTAATATAAACGACTAAAATGATAGTCATTTTTTGCTTCCATAAATGCTCGCTAATGAAAAATATTGTTACATGCACGCTGGGGTTCCCTAGAACATGAACATTGTCATAAACGTTCTGTAAGAGTGAAAAGATTGGGAAGCGCTGATATTCATTATGACAAAGCATTTCATTACTACCTGCTTAAGGGAAGGGAAGCCTCTGTGGAGGAAGTTTTAGCTGGTAGTTGCTTATCAGGAAAACCATAAAATCTCTCATGCAGGCAGCTCATTCTTCAGGATTTAAATCTGGATTTAATCAGCAGTGTTCGGCGATTTTACCGCTCGACAACGAGTGCCCCAACAGAAATGGAGTATATGTGAGAACTTGGATAAAACAGAAAGTCATAATATTTTAGGTGAAAATTTTGGTGATTTATGTGAATAAAGTAACTTTTAAGCTGTTTTATCATAACTAAATTGAATGCTATACAAAAAGAACTGAAAATCAGAACAATATCATTTTATATAGCCGTTCTCTCTCAAATAGTCCGACACTTGTTCATTAAGTATTCATCAGGGATGGACGAACCAGTTAGTGTTTTGTCTGCCTTATTACCCTGAGCATTGTCCAAGAAGCACCACAGAGTGTAACCTATATTGCGCTTGCGTTGGGGTTGGGAAGGAAAGGTAAGCCACGAATATAGCCTTGGTTTTGGAGAAGCATCCTACCTCCGCTACAGTATCGTCTATGAGGTATGTTTATTGTGCTGCATCTAAGCAAGTTGCTATTTTAATTGAATTAGTTATTAAGTTAAAATGCGGTTCATTTTAATTTTCTTGAACATGAAAACTGCTTTGAGAATTATTCTGCTGGGATTTAATTATCTTAGAATTTATTTGAAAAAAATGTTGTATGGATGTATTCAACCCATACTCTGTATAGGAAGAGCGCCTTTTTTTCTCAATCAAAGAAAAATCTATGCATGACTCTGCTTCGAAAGGCACATTCAAGTTCTTTTATGAACGCATTTGTATTTTGAGAAGAATTTATGTAAATTTCAATCAGAAGAATTCACTTATATTTACAGAGTATTCCCAATCATCCGAGCTAATGCTGAGGAAGCAGGTTCGGATAATCCAAACTATCAGTTTTCATGCATATTATATGTATTCATTTCTTAAAAAAGGCAGTAATTTTACGTTGGTTTTGAGAACGTTTAAATATTTGTCGAATTTCCCTGCATATTTTTTGAAGTGTTATTTTGTCATTGTCTTCGAAACTCCTTTTCTCGAAGAAATCCAATGAAGTTTCAGTACAAGTCATCGCTATCCGGGAAGTAACATAATTTTCAGTATCACTTCTGTTCTTGTGACATTTGGAACCATATCCACATCAATTAAGTACTGAAATCGCAGCTGAGTCGAATCACCATTAAACCATTCCTCGATGTTTTCCCGGTCAACATTTTCAGTTTTTTCACATAAGACTTCAATTATTTCCTCGAATTCTTCACTATTAGATAAATCTCCGATTTCTAAATAAATATATAAATATATTTTATATATTATATAAATCTTCTATTTTTGCACACTCTCACGCATAGCGTTGTGTATGCGTACCACCACACACGGATAATTTGCAAATGGGATAATCCGCATCCGGATAGTTGTGAATATACCGTGTACTTAAATTGTGCTTTGTAGTTTTAGTTCTTTTGAAGTTATGATTGCTTAATTAAACAGTAATTTTTGTCGTGGAGGGAATTCTGATGATTGTTTTCGCGAATTTTAGGGCATTTTGTAAAATTCTTGGAAATATTAAATATCGAACAACTGTAGAGTTTTTCTCGCGAATGTCGATTAAATTCGTGAAATTCAGCTTCTTTTCTGTTGTACTTAACTTTTTAGAACTTATTATTTTTATCTTTAAATAGATTTGATATGACTTCCATTAGAACTTACACAAGAAATATTGCATATTAATCTTGTTCCGAAATACACATGGAATTTTTTAATTTTTTATAAGAAATTTCTCTGAAGTTTTCTCTAGTAGTTTTGTTTGGCATATGGAATGCTAAAAAATCGTTTTTAAAACCGTAATGTTTTCTTTCGTTTTCTATTTCTATTTTTCTTCGTTTTCTTTTTGTTGTCGACAAGCAGTTTCAATAGTTTCAATACCGAACAATCCTTTGCTAAGTTTAGAACCGTTCTACCTAATGATGAAAACCCGTGCTTGTATAATATAATATATGAAAACACGGTGCACCTGACTGTAAATTTTTTATCTCATATTAATGGCGTTAATTATGTTGCCAAAATTGTGTAAGTTTACAAATATATTTGTTAATACTAGTACATCTATAAAACTGTCAGTTTTGGCAGGTTTAAATGTAAGTCTCAGTTTTAAAAATATATAATTTTAACCTCATTTAGCGACGTACTAGGTACTTATGTTACTGTTTCGTAGACTCTCTTTTTTTCTGCGAATGTATTAGTGCAAATCATCAGCAGCAAAATTCGTAACCGCTCGAATTTAACTCAATTTTTTTCCGATAAAATTATTTTACTAATTATATCTTCCATTACTATGCAATCTTTCAGTCATCGAATATTTCCTCTCACCTAGATATATCTTCTGATCAAAGCATAGAAAAATAAATTGGGAAAGCATAGAATAATAAATGGGACATGTGCTATTGGTGAATGGTTAAAAAATTTGCAGCAAATTATCAGAGGATCACTTAAGAATATCTTCATTGTGAAAGTTACGGAAAGGCTTTACAACCAATCCGTTTACCGATCAGGAACTATTCTTGGAGCGAACTTCTGTATTCCGGGGCTTTAGCCGCTTGGACATTGGTGGGCTACCTGAAAGATTGGATTGGATTATTTTAATTAACTAAAAGTATGTGGGGCCTATGTAACTGAAGGTAAAGAATGCCTTCATGAAGGAACATTTTAAGAGTAGGTGACGCGTATCCTTTTTCTACCTAGGAAAAACTAGAAAAATGCATATGCAACCAGCCTATTTGCCGGAGTTTAAATTCGGGTCGACTTACTAGTGTTCAACAGTTTATCCACTCGGCCACTGGTGGGTAAGTCCATTTGAAGGATAAAATTTATTCATTCTGCACTGAAAATTGAAATAATTTCTTTATTGCCTTGAGAGGATGTTATTGTTTTCACTTAACATATAAAATCACGTGTCTTACAAAATAAAATTCAAAGGCAGGATCATGTCTTGGAAACTGATGAATGAAAATCAGAGGGAATCTAGACATAGCATCTACATCCAGATTTTTTGCATGTAGTACCATTGCGCAAAAACATAAGCGTTCTCATTTATCATGCGCGTGCCATCGAACATAGCCGATTCTCAGAGTGTTGCCATTCACCAGATGTGTAATTTTACTGCCAGACATAGACAAAGAATTATGGATTAACAGATTACTTGTTTTAAAAATTTTATTTAATTTGGCCAAAAGAAATAATGATATAAAAAATTTAGAATTTTAAATTTAATTATCATTAAAATAGAGCTGACATAGTTCAGTAAAATAACTATATCGCATTCTTTAAACTGTTATGCTTTAATTTATATCGGTTAGGTTCCATTAAATTATATATGCCAAAGATCATGAGGTTTGAATATTGCAAGGAATCAAGAAGCACCAAATTTAAAACTTTTATGCTCTGTTTGGCACGAGAATTGGTTGCGACATTCCCATCCTTTTTTCCCCTTTTGATGCCCCTATTAGGAAATAATTCATAATTCTTTTAAATAAATTGCTCCGAAAATGCAATAACTGAAACTGATAAGAACTGCAATAAATTATAAAAAAGAAATCTTTACCCCGTCATTTAAATTAAAGAAACCGTAGCTAAAATTTAAAAAAATACTTATTTTGATCTTATTGCATATTAAAATGTATTTAATAATTAGAATATAATAGTAATAAATGTAAATATGTTTCTTCAAAGAAGTTCATAATTTTATTGCGAAATCAAATTCCATAACTGCATTTATGAGAAATGACATTTTACCATTTCATAAATATAAAATTTTTTCTAGACTATCAACAAATTTCATTTTACCCCATTTTTTTTTAAATGAATGTTAATTTTTTATTATTTTGCTGAATTTTAATGAGATTTAGGTCCTATTCGCAAAAATGTTTTTAAAGAAAATATGTATTATTAAATAAAACGTACAAATAATAAATAAATAAAAATAAAATAATTACAAATTTCTGATTTAAAAAAGTGTTCTGCGACTTCGTATTAATTGCGCATTCTTGAAATAAAATATTTATTTTTGCTTCCAAATAATAGTTAGTAATTTTTTTTTCTTTTTCTGATGTATATTAAATTTAATTTTAATTTAGTACATATTTACGTCGAAACTTTATTTATTGAGTAGTCAGCTGTTTCAGTATAGTTACTGTAGTTAACTCCTCTTAAATTATCAAAAATTTCAGTAACCATTTCTGTTTTAGCTGTACATTTCTGCCGGAGAACAAAAGAAATTCTTGGACATGACATTAAGTGCACAATACCTCTCTTTTCTAATGAGAGATCCATCACTACGCTGCGTGCGCTTTACCGTACGTTTCTGCACTGCTTCGTTCTTGACTTCATCCAGCACACTATCTAACATATTCAGTGATTTACAAACCTCTGGAGGTATATCTTCGATTTTCCTGAAATCGAAAAAAAAAAATTTATTCAGTTTAAGTGAAAAAGAGTATAAAGTGTAAAAGACTTCCTCTTTAATAGAATCGTTTCGATATCATTGGATTTACAGTGCTTTGAGTTTTAGTAAAAAAATGGAGGAAGGAAAATATTTGTCACATAAATTGGATAGCGCAGTAATTTTTGTTTCATGAATTGTACTTTATTAAAGCTTTCGAAGTTTCGCTGATTTCAAATTTGCTCCTTATTATTCAATGCAAGCTTTTAAATAAAAGTCATTATACAAAAGAGATTCTTTCCTTATTAATTAAAATTAAAATTTAAATAAAGAATGATTGATTAAATCAGGGTTTCATAAAGTGTGGGTCACGAAACCCAAAAATTTTAGCACTTTTGATATTTCTTTAACTTATTATAATAATTTTACAATTACCAAATATTTTTACACAATGTATCTGAAAATCGATAAAAATAAGACAATACAGACAAAAAAAAAACTTTTTGACACATTTTTTTTATAATACAAACGTTCATTCTCCTTGCTTTGCACGTGACGCTGCCATTTCGTTTGTTACTTATTTAAAATTTTCACACTGTTCTATGTCTTAGAAATTAAAGTTAATGACCTAAAACTGCAAAAGTATATTACAGTACAAGTGAAAAAATTGACAGTTCCACTTACACGTGTGTCGGATTTGCGCAATACTCATGGGGGTCCACAAAATTTTTGTAAATATTATGGGGTCCTGGGGGTGGCGAAAAAATATTTATGATAAAAAGGGGTCGCGGCTGAAAAAGGTTAAAGAAACCCTGGATTAAATAATCAAATCGAAATTTCATTTTAACAGTTTCGTCTCTCAGACATGCAAAAATATTACCACACACTGAATAACACGCACTGAAAACTCACTTCAGTAGATTTCCTAGATAGAACACTTTCGTGCTTAATCAAACGTTTCGAATAAAAGTAGCTGTAGAAAAATCTCAGGCTCGGTTTTTCAGTAGGACGACATTAAATCAAATTTACAACTAGTTGACTAAAGGGGCATTGGAAACATTAAGATAGAATCATACATATGTAATATATAATATGCAACGTACTAAAGTATCATAATTTTTAAACAAAAAATATACCAATTATTTCTGCGCAATATGCTGCTGAAAAATTAACCAAATATAGACAAAATAGTAAGAAATTTAGAATCAGATTCACAAAGATGTGGAAGAAATGAAATTTAAAACCAGTAAAATCCCAAAATTTCTCAATAAAAATGTAAAACACCCATCAACTTAGTATTTTTATACCAGAGGAAATCCCGATAACATAAATATATAAAAATACATAAAATAGGATGTGGGGTTCCAAACTTTATCTAACAACTAAATGTGTAGGAACCTCGTGAACCGGTAAGCGAATAAATCGCTTTAGTTCAGGAAGAGAAAGGTAAAGCTTGTGGAGTTGCTCACTTTGTAAATGCTAATTTACAGTTGGACGTGAAGAATCTTAAGAATTGCTAAGCAAATAATCACTTAAGTTCGTGTGACAAGAAGCAACAAGATGGAAGGGTAAATAATCTTTTATTATTCAAATAAGATTTAACAGAACTCCGTCTTGGAGTGTACATAAAAGCCGACACTTGGGCTTGAACTTAAGAGGCTAAGAAAATAAACTAAAACTAATCTAAACTAAAGAGATATAGCCGAAACTATCAAGATTTTAACCGAGTTGGCCCCTCAACGCTAATTGACTGCGAAGGTATCAAGGGCCTGAGTACGGCCGAGCGTAATAACAGCTTTGAGAGAGAGTAGCCAACAAGGCGGACGCGCGCAAATCAGAAACTCTGATTCTCTCTAACTCAGCAAGTAGAACTTCGCGGTTAAATACCGCTCTTCCTCATTATGTATTCAGACGTGATTCTAAAACTGCGTCTGGCCGGAAGTAGTAAGTTGAAGTTAAGAATTTTACAGAAAAGGAGTTTAACTCAAAATTTAACTGTTAATAAAATTAACATAATCCTTACAAGCTCAATAAGGGTTAATTATCTTTTATTGATCAAAATAAAGAATAACAGTCGGTCTCTTTCTCAGGGCTCTTCTTTACCGTACCGTACGTACTTAAATTTCACAACCGAAAACATCGCGACAAAAACAGATAGCTAATAGAATTTTATAAATATCGTTTTAAGTGAAGAAAACGTCGCTGAGAAAACAACGCAAGGCGAATATGTCGTGGTACAAAACATCGTGTGAGAAAAGAAAGCAAAGAGAAAACATCGCAGTTCTAAAACATCGTGGTACAACATATCGTCGTCGAAAATAAAGCGGTTCAAAAACTTTGCAGTTTAAAGACATCATTGTAGAAAATGTGGTAAAAAATAAAGCACCTACAAATCATCGCATGGCGATAACATCGCACACGTGCATCTTTCAGGTTTTAAAAGTAGTAAATGCATATTCGCATAAAGATTTGGAAGCGCAAGAAATGTTAACGACACTTTAAGAATAAACGGAAACAAAACAAAATATAATTTTCACCATAACGACATCAGATTAACAAGCGTGAAATAAAGTAACTTGATAATTAACTATAAGCAATTTTTATAGAGGTAACCTCATATAGTTACTTATCTTCCTATTTCTAAACATTTTTAGGCTGTATTTTTATGAAAAATTGGAAGTAAAACTTTATAAAAAAGATGAATTTATTAATGATCTTTGTTAATTAACTATGTAAATTTAAAGTTCTATTTAGTGCTATAAGTTGCATTAATTTTCTACTCATTTTCAATTTTGAAATTCTTAAGTTTCCTTCTTAGTTTTTCAGCAAAAATTAGTTCATTCAAAAATATGAAATATAAAAGTAAAAATATCCTTCTTGCGCTTCCAAATCATTATGCGAAAACGTTTACAGCTTTTAAAACCTGAAAATGCATGCCTGCGTTCGTCATGCGATGATTTGTAGGAGTATTTTTTACCACAATATTTTCGACGACAATGTTTTTAAAACCGCTTTATTTTTAATGACGGTATTTTGTACGACGATGTTTTTAGAACTGCGATGTTTCCTCTTTGCTTTTTTTTTTCCCGCCACGATGTTTTGTACCACGACGTTTTCGCCTTGTGTTGTTTTCTCCGCGACGTTTTCTCTCCGCGATGTTTTCGGCGGACACCGTATTTCGGAAAATTTTCCATTTGAAGCTAAATTTTGACGTTTGTTTCTTTTGTTCTTACCTATCGTAGCTTTAGATATCGAAAACCCATGGCTTTCACAACGTTTCTTAATAACTAGATGAATGATTTTCTTCTTAAAGCATAAACACAAGTATAGCCTTCCATGCATTGCTTCTTTAAAAGCGATATTTTGCATGAAAACAAAACTGTCAAATACGATAATTTCTACTTTCAAAAATATAGCTGCAGTTAAAAAAAATTTCCAAGCAGAATATTTTTTTACAGCAAAGCAAAATCGTCTATAAAGATGTGCGAACAACGTCTTTAGTGAACTGAATGAAGGTATAAGAGGAGAAAACTGTTTAAAAGTTTCAGATAGCTAATAGAATTTTATAAATATCGTTTTAAGTGAATATAACATCTTTTTTAGGCAGAGGTGACTCTGAGAATAAAAATATTTCATGCAACTGTCGCAAAAAAACGAAGTAGTCCATTTTCGTTTCATTTTTCTACATGTATGTTTTCGAACCGTCGTTGCCTCAATTTAATACTTTTTCAATCTCAAAATATTAATTTATTGAAATTATGGAACTATCAATATGCTTTATCGAAGATCGCTTAAATACTGTAAATCGAATAGTAGACTGTAAATCAAATAGATCTGACTGTCGAATTTTTGTATAGGTAACGAGTGAAAGGAGCGAGAAATCTATAAGGGCGTAGAGATCGTAAACTTCATTTGACAGTAAGTAGAAAAGTCAGAAAAAGGTAAACATCTTTTTCACCTGAAAATGCTATTTTTTAAAATAGCTCCAAAAAATGTAAGCGGATTGAAGAGAAAAATAGATTTATTAACACTTCGAAGGAAATATCTTCGAGGTGTTTGTTGTTTTTATTTCTCAAATTCCATCGTTTTGGAAAATAGAAAGGATTGCCATTTCAGGAAAGTTTTTGTTACAAACCTCGTCCGAAATAAATACTCTACTTTGTCTTAAATAATTAAATGTTACCTCTGTTAAGTAAGTTTACGAGTCTCTGTGTGGCTTTAATTTATGATGAAATAATACTGGAACAAATTTTCTCCTATCATTTCGCTTTACCATTTTGTATAACTAATTTTAAATATAAGATATTGTGTTCTGTAGCTTGAATTTCTTGAAAAATAATTACTAAACTAGCAGACCCATCATAACTACTGAGGCTAAGACATCAGACTAAAATCTAATAACAAGATAATATTGCAGTTTCTTTTTAGTCTTAAGATTTACATAGTTGGAAGTATTTTGCAATTTTTTAAACTTTAGTATTTAACTCTCCGAGGTATTAGAGTGTGATTTGATGTTTTAAGATCGCAGTTTTTAATTTCTTTTTATATATTTTCGTAAGAGAATTAGTGTAAAGCTAATAATAATGTCTGTCAAATTACTGTCAAAAGGTGGAAAACCTTTCAAAAAAGTATTACAATGTAGCTAACATATTCATATGGATAATAATGAACGGGCCATATGGCACAAAACAAACAATATATAAAAGTATTAAGACTTTTAGAAAAGCTTGTAGTGGCTTAAAGTTCATGCTGGAGAAGGAAACAAAAAAGCAGTACTATCGTAACCGGTATTTGAACTCTGGGCTACCGATTGCTAGTCGAGCTTGCTTCCAATTACATGCGATAAGGAAGGATAAAATTTCTCTTATTCTCACCCTTTAAACGGGCTATTTGGAAGAAGGGGCTCGCAACTGCCAGATACAGGTTGTGACGAACCACACACCACACCACGTTCACCACATTTTAACTGTGGGCGCAACTTCATCAGGTTTATTTCGAAGCAGGAAGCAT